GACCCTGTATGGCAGATTGGAATCGCGAGAGCACTTGAACTCAGATGCCCTCATGTATAAACTGCAGTTGCTCCCTTTTCCATTCCTAGAGATGGGAGGAGTTATTTCTGTTGGGACTTTACAAGACTTCTGTCAGTGTGGTCAATACCGCATCCTACACAGTGCAAGTGGTAATGTTTTTGCGAAAAGTGAAACACAATTCTGGTGAACTATTCACAGACAGCCCCCAGATGTTGGGTGAACTGTGTTGGCGTATTTTGTGTGTTGGATTGTGAATGTGTGAAATGAAGTGAGCATTTTCTAATTTGGCACTCACAGTTTCCACTGCCATATATTTCTATTGAGTTTGTTCCACATTCAACAGATTGCATGGACATGCTTTTTGAAATATGTTGTTTGTGCTAGAAGCAGCATTGTTGAACACATTTATGTGAAATTATTATGGTGTAGATAATACATAACGTTTGGACTTTGGGAGTAATATATAAATTGCATTTATCTCACAATGCATTTGTTGCTCCAAAGTGCCCTGTGGATGTGCTCTGGCAGTCAATGAATGTTTGCTGCAAATGTTTTCGAGTTTTAGCTGGGTATGGTGCTGGGATTGCATACGTTGCGTACTTATTAATTTTCCGCTAAAAGCAACAAGTGAGAACTTTTATGCTAAGGCGACAATAAAATGGCCGATCGTGAGGTATATGCTTTTAAACAACAGTAGCCGCGCCGTGCAGGGAATCTGCCCAAACGCGGACAGGTGGCGGGAAAATCTGAATTCAGAAACTTATGAATTAAAGTAAGTGCATAATGGCAATTACGCCTCCTCATATCATTTGTTCACCTAAAAATCTTGAATCTATGGCTATGCACATTCACAATCTGACCGATCATCATCTTTGCCATTCAATACTCTTAGTTAATAACATTAGAATTCGACCATTTATGTCGACCTACTCTTTCTGTCGGTGTTTTGTGATACGTATCGTATCGTTACACCTCTGTTATGAGGAAGAACCCTACCAGTGCCACGTGTGCTGTTACAGTATGTGGCGATATCCACGGACAATTCTATGATCTAATGAAGCTATTCGAAGTTGGCGGACCTCCAGCAAGTACGCGCTATCTGTTCTTGGGAGACTATGTAGACAGAGGTTACTTCAGTATAGAGGTACGTCGAAACTACCTGTTTCTGATTTAATTGGAAGACAATATGGAAAATTATACAATCGTGTCCTCAGACGTGATTTAAATGCAGAAATCAGTTCAACTTTATAGTTAGTAGAAAACAAAATGAACTATATGCTTAGCAGTAATTGAGCAGTCCAACCTTGCACATTAGTGTTCAATATTAGCTTTAGGTGCAATCTTGTTTTGGAACTGACATTTTATGAAGTAATGTTACTTTACCTAGCAGTAGCAGGGCTGCAAAGCTATGCTGCTTGGCATGGCAATCTGCGGTTTCATTTTCCAGTATTGTATCGTACTAAATATTATCGAGACAACTGCGATTAGCTACAATGTTTAGCATGAATGGAGATAACAGATTTAGTGTGTGCGACAACATGAAAGTTGCGTGCTGCTTTGGATCGGTGCGCGCACTGCAGACGTTGGCGGGGTACGATCGTTTGGAGGCTCTGACTTGACGAACACTGAATACTCAGTATGTGTGTATCTGTGTATGTTGTAGTGTGTGCTGTACCTGTGGGCACTGAAGCTTCTCTATCCAACAACACTGTTCCTGCTGCGGGGCAATCACGAGTGTAGACACCTCACGGAGTACTTCACATTCAAGACGGAATGTAAGCGAGGCCATCTATTATGCTTCTTCACCATATTTGATAACATTTGAAGTGTGCATATATATATGGCATAGCGGTAACACAAAATGTCCCATGTACGAATGTGAGGCATTAGAGGCTTGTCGTTGCCAAATATCTTTCTGGCTGTGACTACATTTAGGGTTGTAAAGATGTGCTTATCAGAAATAAATGAAGTTATTTTTCACTAGTGGAATTAGTCTGTCTACACACTACACAGCATAAACTTTTAATAACTAGTATTTCTACCAACTAGTTCATATATGTTATGTAGATTGAAGAATTCCTTTCTCATTGCTACAATGTTATTGATATGGTAATCATTGGTTCAAACCTGCTCTGACTTACAGCTACTCTTTCTTGAGATGACAGTGCTTAACTGTATCATTGTATTTGTTACCATGTTCAAATATTGCAGGTAAGATGAAGTATTCAGAGCGTGTTTACGACGCCTGCATGGATGCATTTGACTGCTTGCCCCTGGCTGCCCTCATGAACCAGCAGTTCCTGTGTGTGCATGGTGGCCTGTCCCCCGAAGTACACACTCTCGATGACATCAGAAAGGTGAGAGGCAACTGTCATGTTTTTACTGTGACAACACACACACACATTTGTATTGCGATGTAGATGAATTTCTCTCCGTGCAAATGCGCTGGTTTTTTTATGCCAGATTCCTACTTTTGATTTTAATAGCACTTCCTATTTATGTCCAATTTATGCTAGGCTTTGCATCAAAGGTCCTGTACTGGTGTGTGTAGAAATGATATTTGAAGAGTAAAAGTTATGCGTAATGTTATTATAGAGGGCTTAAATTTGTTCATGAACAGTTGTTTGTACATCATTTAGAATTCTTCTTCTTAATAGTGACGTAGATGTTTTTAGGAGAAATAAATTTTCATTAAATGTTGAAAACAGTTTCTGGCGACGCATAAATTTGTTGAACGGTGTCTCATAGGCTTTACAGGTAGTTTGCACTTACTTCACTATTCTTTTCCGATCATGTTCAGTAGCTGTTATTTTTAGGAAATGTGAGATGGATTTCTTATTTTGGTTTTGGGTCAGAAAAGATTGTGATCTCTGTGGTGCTTAGCAAAATGTTTGGGTGTGATACGAAGGTGTCGTAAAACTTGTTAAATTTCGCTTTTTTATTGCATTTCTGTAATATTGGAAGGCCAAAGGTGTTTCTTGTGTTCTGGATTTTTTTCTGGCCTTGCTACAGTAAGGCTGGTAATGTCATGATTAATGCTGTTGACGTGCCATCTCTAGCGATCTTCTTGATAATGTGGTTCTTGTTTGGTCACTTCATGTGGGCTAGTCTTGGTATAGGAAGTTTTGATACTATTTTGTTGTATGAATGAGGATGGCTGGTTGCTTGGTCTATCCAAGGAATAAATCTTCTATGGTGTGGCACACAAATCTGAGTGCTTGATGACTCGTAATGGATAAACGCTGTATGTACAGCAGTTATAGACACCTAGTTGATTTAACAAGCCTATGTTTGCAGGAAAACCATGTGTAATACTCAGGAATGCATATAGGGAGTTTTAACAACTAAATTGGCTATTAATAATTGTTTCTCTATCCTTGCTATAATCATATGGTGACATGGTTCTATTTGTCCAATGATATGCGTATTCACTTGATCCTTACAAATAGGAGGACATGCAAGTTCGCTTTGTGGTGAAAGGGGAAACATAGCTTCTCCTGAATCCAGCCTAATCGTACCAATCCAATTTGTTATACTTTCTCGGATGATGTGTGTATGCATTCGATACTTCGTTATCAGCGAAATTAGTGTGCATGTGATAGCGGTATATCATCACTAAGCTTCACCATGCATATAACATAGCGCAGTGGATGGTCATTCATGAAGTCCTAGATTCCAGTTCGTCTGCTGAAAATTCCAATAATTTGCTGCAGCTGGACCGATTTAAAGAGCCTCCTGCATTTGGCCCAATGTGTGATCTGCTGTGGTCAGACCCTTTGGAAGATTTTGGCAGTGAGAAGAATTCAGAACATTTCAGTCACAATAGCGTAAGAGGGTGCTCATACTTCTACAGGTATGTACAAAATACTACTATGTGATTAAATATTGTTAGTTAAAGTAACTATTGCGAGAGTTTTCCAGTGTTTTCCCCACTTTCATGATATCTACCGTTATTGCTTGAGTCTAGCATTGAGAACAGCAATTGTCTAGAGTAATGATAAAATGTCTTAGAACCTTATGTTAACCATATTCACCAAATCATGCACGATTACAATTTTGCGTTCTGTTTATGCTTATCGTTGCCATCTCTCAGACTTTCTTGCGGTAGCCGCGAGACATCTATCACGGTGCAGTAATACATATAGTCGCACCGCAGAAATCAGGTCAGAGTGTAAACACAGACGTTCATACTAGCGTAACAGGAGTGTAGTACTAATGCCGCGTAAAGTCTGACCACCAGCTTGTGGACTACCAGTCAGATAGTAACACCGGAATGACAATGACAGAAAGTGCTCTGAATTATTGACATAAAAACTCAAGAATATTTACCACACAGAATTGCACGTCCTTTTGTTTTAATTATGCACTTGGTTTGAAGGCGCCATTTGTGATTTTGAGAGTCGGCATACAATAAAATTTATTGCTGGTATGATGTGGTCAAATCCATTTTTCTATGCTGTAACTGCATAAAATCTTAGTGTTTTTAATGTTGGTGTAATCAGTGATATTTCCGCTGTCAGGTGAGACTATATTTAGCTATATTTAGTTTTTCTGAGCAAAGTAAGTTTAGGAGTAAAATCTCGCAATAGTAAGTTTAAATGATGTGTAAGTTAGGAGTTTGCTGTCAAATTCAATTTTCACGTAAATTCATGTATTCAGCGCTGTCTCACCGAGTGTGACATTGTTAAACCTGAGACGATAAAAGGAAGTACGAAATGAAGCACTCCGCTTGACTGCACAGGCCTGATCACCCTATAAAAGATAATAGCATTTATGTATATGAGTGACTGAAGTTCACAAGAAGGTGTTTTTTTTTCAGCTATGCAGCATGTTGTGATTTCCTAGCACAGAATAACCTCCTGTCAATAATTCGAGCTCACGAAGCCCAAGATGCCGGGTAAGTAATAATATTTTTGTTTTTGTATTGTTTATGGTTGCCCAGTAGCAGCTAATTTCGTGTGCAACACGTGACTCTTTTTGCATAAAACTCATTTACTGTTTATTATGATAATGGTAATAGGTGCATGTTAGGTCTGATAATGTTTATTATGATAATGGTAATAGGTGCATGTTAGGTCTGATAAAGTAAAACTATAATGAGGGAAAATGTTTCTTTCTAACTCGTTTTTACAGTTTTCCTATGGTCACTATGCTGAAGATGCATCACATATATCTGTGTCGTAAATAAAAAGAAAGGTTGTGTGCGTGACCCTCTTCCTTGTTGCATCTTCCAGTAACTCGTTGTATTGATTGTTTCATGGATAGGTATCGCATGTATCGCAAGAGCCAAGCAACAGGATTCCCATCGCTTATTACAATATTCTCTGCACCTAATTACCTTGATGTTTACAACAACAAAGGTAAGAGTCCTGAATGTCCCTTTAGCAGCAGAATGCCTATATAAGCGCATTTCCATTGTCTATGGAAGCAGCAGATGTTTAATCTGTCTGTTTTTGCGTGAGGCCATGCATTGCAGCAATTTGTTGAAATTATTCTGTTCTGCACTGCACATCGGATTACAGCTCTATGAATGACATCGTGGTAAATTACGCGGGATATACACTGTGCAGTAGCTTAGAGTTGCATCGTTGCCACATCAAATTACCTATCCAAACTACGTAACTAGAGGTGTAACGATACACCAGGTCCTGTGCCACGATTCATGCATCACGATTCGATTCACGATTCAATTTTTTTTCATAAAGACAACCAGTTTTTGGCGTACAAAAAACACCTAATTTATGTTCTACAATGTGTGTGATTATCAAAAATCAACACTACTTAATTTATATAATGAACGTTGAACATTCTTTATTGAACAAGTCAAGTTAACACCAACTAACAATGTCAACTCACTACGGACTGTGTGAGTGAGTGTGACAGACGTAAACATTAACAAATGAACAAACTGAACAAAGTAAAATGTTCTAAAAAAATAAAGACTACAAAGTAGTACCATGGCTCCATGAGTAATTGAATACAACCCAAACTATTATCAATTGCATTTTGAACAATGAACAATCAGCAATGAGCATTGAGCAAGTTGTCAAAAAGGCAACAACATTAAAAACAAATGCAAATTATAAAGACTGACTAGCCATGAAGCATGACATTATTAAAATAACAACAAGTATCAGTCTTGTTTTGCCAGCGTTCGTTTCGTCGCCATGTTTACTGTAGAGTGAGCTGGACGCGCTGAATAAATCTCGCGCTCTGATTGGTCAAAATTCAAGCAGTATGATATCGTATTCATTGCCGTGAATCGCGCGATTCAGATGAAAAATCGTGAATATCGCGATACACGATTTATCGTTACACCTCTATACGTAACAATGATTTCACTTTTGTTAAAAATGCATAACACCATGTACATAGTGAACAAATAAACAAGTTGTTCTTGAAAATATTTGCACACATAAATTTAGGCCAGGAAAAAACAGCCCATATAAAATGTGTGGCTTACTGTTAAGGAAGACAAACTGAGGATAAGGATAACAAAGATAAGAAAGGTGTTGAGCAATGCTGGAACTTTCTTCCATATTTTAGTCAAAAATGATTGTTTTTGCAACTTTCAGCTGCCATATTGAAGTATGAAAACAACGTGATGAACATCAGACAGTTCAACTGTTCGCCACATCCGTATTGGTTGCCCAATTTCATGGATGTTTTTACATGGTCTTTGCCTTTCGTAGGCGAGAAAGGTAAACAGCATAGTTTACTGTCCAAACAGAATTGTAAAACTGTTGTTAGTGTTTATATGATGTGTGTACATGTTTCAATGACCGATTCTCTAAACCCATTGTTCAGCCTGATGTTGGATGGTTATTCACCCTGTCTACTTATCTAACAAGTGAAGTTAGTTTATCTTAAAATTCATTATTCATTCCATTATTTTTAGTTGCCCCATGAGAATTGTCTATGGTTGCTTTAAAAAATGATGTTGATGTTGCTGTTTCAATATCAGTGCCAAATTCAAAAAGAATCTGCTCGCCAATGGACATGTACAAAAAATATTTGTTATTAATTAGTTTGTTTTGTGCCCATTTGTGTATGTTATAATGCACTTAAATAATGTTAGATAAAAGGCAAATCATGTGTTCTGTGTTTAAAAATGAATTTTTTATTAAAAACTTGCCACAATATATATTCCTGTGGTTCAAATATGTGGAAAGCTTTTTAAAGTGCAAATTACAAAAATTGACGACTTGAATTTTTGACCTGACAAAATACCCACTGTGTCTATCGCAGATGTCGAAATTTGTTGAAAGAGCGGGAAAATAAAAAGGATAATTATTAATACTGCAGTGCTTTAACCAACAACATTGGTTTGATCATTTTAGTTTTGGATGTACAGTAAGGCTAACATGTTTTAGAACATTGTTGCATCGCTAATTTCAACTAAATTTACGACGGTTGCAATTTTATTTGTTGAGCTGTTGACACAGTTACATGATGCTAATGTTTGTTTCTCGCAAAACCCTGCCCGTACACGCGTAAAGTAATAGAGATTCTGCAGTAGTAGATAACCAATTACATCACTGAATGAGATTCTGAAGACGATTGTCGCAAGAATATGGTTGCGTTATTTTGATATTGATTATACCATAACAGCACAAACTGGTGGTAAATTTTATACTGGAGTAATTGGTAATACGGCCGCTAATAGGTAAAAGCTATTCGTCTAAGTGCTTTTAATTTTCAATTTATTTGAGAGATAATTTTAAAACTACAGGTACAGCATTTATATTTCAAAAATCCAGATATGACTGATAGATTCGAATCTTTATTATGTTAACAGTGCTTTTCCATGATAAAAACAAGATCATTTGTTTGCAAAGTTCATAACCTTATAGCGAAATGGCATCAAGTGAGAAGCAGATTAAACCCACTTCAGTATCTAGTTCAATCGCTGCGACCCTTAGAGACAGTCCAGGCCTCCCCTTCACGTGTGTCTAAGATATAATTTTGTTTTCAACATTTATTCTTTTTAGTTGTACTGTTACTTTAGATCACATTCATTTACATTGCTTATGCAATTAAAAAAAGCTGTAGTATTTTTTTGTTGGGAATTATTTCATGATTATGTAGACATTCTTTTATCATTTGTGCATTTACTTGTTGTATGCAATATTGTGCATTTCTTGCTCACTGCGAATTTTTGGAGGTAGATTAACACTCAAACCACGCTCTCGGTTAGGCTATCAAAGCTAGGTTTTCCCCTGCTTAAAATTTGCTGCCCATCAGTGTTAAAAACGTGGAACACTAATTCTTAGTAAATATGTAGGTCTTGGCATGGCAGCCATTGTTGTATTTTTATATGGTGATTTTGAGTTTGGGATTCAAGGATTCCAATCTGGGAAAAAATTACTTTTTTTCACGGGAGCTCTTTTTCAAGTCTATGGAAAGTCTCGTCAAAAAGTTTGCGGGAGCGATTTCGGAGGTTTGAAGAACGAATCGCTCATCGCTCCCGTGTATTTTTTACCCTGCTTCCAGTGTAATGTTATTGATCGTACTTAACGTGCTTTTCTCTAATAATGGGTTAATTTATAGTCTCAGAGCATGTGCACTACTGGAAGGGTGATTAATTTATGATATAACTTGGTAAACCACCTGTGTGTGATTTTAGACGGTTATAGACGGATAGCAGCTTTATCATGCATGCCGTTAAGTGCTTGTATTCGTTCCCGCAGTGACAGAGATGCTGGTGAACGTGCTGAACATTTGCTCGGACGATGAGCTCATGTCTGAAGGCGATGACACATTCGAAGGTAAGACACCCTGCTTGACGCGACCTGTGCGTCCCACCCAGAAGATTAATCACGGTGGCGGCTTTAGCAGAAACAGCGCTCCGTTACTAGGATGCAGACGAGCGTCGGTCGTTTCAGAAATGTTGCCAGCAATCACGATGTTGTTGCTGCCAGCAGTTACGGCCATGTTGCCGGCAGTTACTAATGGCCTGTGCTTGAGTGTCTGTTCATGCAGGAATGTCTGTGTGACATAGGACATAGGAGGGTGAGCGAGGGTTAACGTATGCTCTCATGCACATGATTCTGTCTCTTCACATGCTTGGTCTGAGCTGAATGATCGATTCAGATATTCTCTGCTAATGGATATGGAAGTGGGCGAGCAGTTTCTCTCTCTCTCTATGTGAGTGTGTGTGTGTGAGTGTGTGTGCGTGCGTTCGTGCATGCGTGCGTACGTACGTGCGCGTCTGCGTATATGCTGTCCAATACTGTTCAACATTTTCCGTTCCAGCTCTGGTGCCACGAAAAAGTCTGATTTATATTTGTGCCCAAAATGTTTTAGGTGATATAATTGATATGTAAGAGTTGCATTATTTAGTGTTGTTGGATGCTAACTTTACGTTTAGTATTTAGTCCCCTATTTATTTTAAATTTTGTTGGCTATAAAAATTGTCAGAGGTAGATTTTATATAGAGAAATATAGATAGCTGTTAATTTAGAGGGGGAATTAATGAATGTAGGTAGGGTCCTTGTGCTTGGGAATTAGAAAGGTGTCTTGAAGTTATGATCTCTCCCTTTTAGGAGTCAGCGTTGCATGTACGACTATATTCATAAAATGCTGGGTTGTGTTATTGCAAACAACGTTTCAAGTGTAGCTCAGTTGAATAATGGATCAAGTGCCCCCAGATTATTGAAATGGTCAGGCGAGCCGTGTGTATGGCACATTGTTATTGTTCTCGTTCCTAAATCTGAGTTTAAGCCAATTTGATGCTAATTAACAATATATAAGTGTGCAGTGGTGTTTAAGCCAATTTGATGCTAATTAAGAATGCGTAAGTGCCTGTGATGTGCCGTTAATAACAGCTAATAAGCTCTGATGAAGTTACGAGCTAGTTCAGACTTGGTGTGCGCGAGGCAGTGATGTGTCTTGGTGAGCTAAGTTACGTATGCCACTCTTAGGTGGGCTTACAACAGGTTTATTACTTGGAGCAAAAGTGCAAGAAGAACAGTATATTCTGTATTCTATAAACCCATTTTTTAACCGTATTTAACTGCTCCACTGTCCCCTTTTGCTGTTGTTTTTGTGTAACCATTTTTAGTTCTAGACTGCCTCTATTCCGATGTGCTTATCAGTGTATATGTGTAATCTGTTGTCATAAGTCTATGTCTGATTGAATAGCATTATTTCAGTGGTCATTCCTTGTACAAAATCAGTGTAAGGTATTTGTGGTCACACGCACACACTCTCGTCACATAGCCAACTACATGAAGCACTTTAATACTGTTCTCTACAGAGTTGCACAAATCAGTCTTTTGAGTTGCATCCCTAGTAATTGCAACATATACATGTTTTGAAGACAGGTACTGCTGCTGCACTTGTGGGTGCATATCACTGCCTAGTGCATGAGCCTAGGAAACCTTACTGCCATCAGACTTAATGTGAGCATTTGTTTCTGCAGGTGCAACGAAATCTCAGGCACTCCCTGGGAGCCCGGGTAGGGGCAGTGTGTGGAGTGTGCTGGTGTGCGCTTTGTTGTTCTGCACATTCACTTTCTGTTTTTTCCCACCTAACATGTATGTTGGGCGTGGATGGCAGGCGTTGGCTGTGTGCGCGCTGGCATCGTAATGTACAGCACGTTGTTTATCTCCTGACGTAGTGCCGCGTGCGTCAATATAGCAAGCAGTTACACTGAGGCGGCGTGAATCTGGGCTTCGCACTTCATCAAGTAGAGCCCTGAACGATAGAGTGGATGGAGAATAGCATTGTGTGATTCTGCTCTTAGGTCGCGCTGCTAGTGCTGCAATTATAAAATTTGTTCCCATATGTTCGATTGAATCTTGGGTTTGTGTTCGTGGCCAACGATCGCCTCTGTGGTTTCTAGATAGTTAGAAAATGAGAGGGCAAACTATGCTTCAGGAAACATTTTGCATTCTCATCGTGGTTTTTTGTGTCGCTTTCATGAATACATGACTGTACAGTACATTTCGATGTAATTTATAGCTTGTGTGATGAGGACTATGTGATTAATTTGGCCCTGCCAAGTTATATTACGTCTAAGTTCTAACCATTAATATACTCACTTCTTGTACAGGCATTATACAGTATTATAGGCATTATGGGCATTGTACTTGTATTATACAGGCATGAAATAGCATGACCATTTAACTTGTCTGAACCACTAGTGTCCATAACAGTGGTGAGGATAGTGGTAATGATATAAACAGTGCTCTCGTGACAAGAACGTGTCAATATAAGTGTAGTTGTGTATGGGAGTGCAATCATTTACTCTGCTATCACGCCTTTGTCACATAACAACCGTAATAGCACTTTCTGTAGGCCCGATTACTTGCTTTATTTCGTGTTGCCGTACAAAAGTAGTTGTGTAATACATAGCTCGTTCCAGATCACAAGGCTAGGTTTTATGTCTATATTTCTGCGAGGTAGTGCTACATTGGTTGAGCCAGAAAGAGGGCTGCCGCGTGTGGATATTTACGGTTAAGCTTGCAGTTTTAGTTTCACTTGCTGGGCAGCGGAAATGTTGCGATGACATGAGTTGTCAACTTGTCACCTCATGCTGCTCCTTTGATGATGCATGGGCAGACAGGCAGTAGTTCTGTGTACATGATGATGCGCAGGTGCTTATAGGATAATCTAGGGGTTGTGGTTAAATGGTAGATAGGAGAGCTGCTGTACATGCTGCCTTGTGCCATCCACACCCTCCTTTTGGTTATGAACCCGTGTGTAGTGCTGCCGTGGGGAATACTGTCTGGTTTTAGGCCCCTGTACTGGTTTTCTCTGTGTTAAATTCCTATACCTCTGCACTTGTTTTGTCTGCTGACCTTTAATATAACACTTGATGTTGAATTAGGGCTCATTGTACGTGAATTTCTTGTTTAAAGATTGCAACGATCACTTTTTGTGCATATTAGGGTTGTTAAAGCCTTATTAAAGGTAGTGAATGACAATAGAAGAATCGAAGATAGATCATATTCTCGATGTTTTTAAGTTTAAAAGTTTTTAAATACATTAATGTTATACATTCTCATATGCCTTTTCCCATTGGTGTGTCCATGCATGGATGTTTCTGAGACATTGTTTTTTTTTCGAAAGAAGTGCAAACGTGATTTATTTATTTACGTTGTGTAGGTGTTGAACGAGGGATGCAACAAACGAGGAAGGTGTTACTGTATGTCGATACCGACTTGCAGCGTTCTGTTATTAACCATGCTAGTTGTGCATTTTTCTAACACCTGAATTTTGTTCATAGGACTAAGGATTTCATGGGTTGCCTGTGAAAAACGTTACTTTTGTTGTTACAAGTTATGACTACATGTTTACTATTGGCTGTACTTATACTAGTTTTGTTTTTGCAGCAATAGTGTTAGAGCCATTAAATATTAAATGATTAATTTCAAGTTTATGAATTAGGGTTAGGGTTAGGGTTAGAGTTAAAAGAATGATAAATTTAAAGTGAACTCTGCACAAATATGTGCATTTATTTTTAACGTGTAAATTTTTAGCTTATGTTGAACTGCCAGTGAGAATGAGCTTACGCAATACCGCTGTCATCCATCCGTTCTTGACCAATGGTGCTAATGGTCGGGACATATATCGCACCCTTGTGCAATTGTGCTCATAATATTCAGTATACAGATTCTTGGTGAGAAAACTGCCCGCTTTGCAAAATTTGAGGTCGTAGGTCAAAGGGCAGTGGACCAAAGGACAGATTTCTGACAGTTTTGGAAGACAAGTTGTTGACGAATCACATGGAAGTTGAGTGGAAATCTGCTTTGTCTCAGTGGTGATGTACCATTTTCATGACTTAGTTAATTGAAAATACGATGAAACCTATTTTCGATGTACGAATAGCAGCCATTCGGTGACATTTTGACTCTCGAGAGGGTTAAGCATAGATTTATTTACTCTTCAAGAACTGGAATGCTTTTGCTAAATGAGATAATATACCTGTTTAGATGTGAAAGGCTACAATTTAGCTGAGGTGAAACAAGGTATATATGCATAATTATATTCTATCATATATCTTATAGTTTAATGCACATGCATTAATTAGTGAGTGCTGTGTTTACATCGCTGTTGATATGTGCAACGCATTACACAAAGTTAAAAAAAATTGCTTACCAATGCTATGTGATGCCTAGTCCATCATTACTAATGGCCAGGTCCGGTAAACACATACATTGTCACTGTGTTATGCGATCACTAATTGGCCGAGGGCTTGAGGATATATCTAATTAAAGACTGTGTACAATAAGAGGGAGCAGTCGCTATTTTCGCTACATTGAGAGGGAGCAGTCGCTATTTTCGCTACATTGAGAGGGAGCAGTCGCTATTTTCGCTACATTAAAGTTGTGCCGAACGTGCTAAACTAGTGCCGACCATCGCCAGGTTATCGACTGCAGGCTACCTACCAGCTGACTGATAAAAACAGGAGTGCATGATATAAAGATCCCCATCTCTTGCTCTTGCTCTCTCTCTCTTTTTCTTACACTTCTTTCTCTCCCTCCCTCTCTCCCTCTCGCACTCTCTTCTCACTCTCTTCTCACTCTCACTCTCTTTCTCTCCCTCTCCCTCTCCCTCTCCCTCTCCCTCTCCCCCTCCCTCTCTTTCTCTCTCACTCTCACTTTCTCACACTCTCTCCCTTGCGCTTTCGTCTTTCAAATAAGCACTGTCACTGTGGCACTAGTTAAGTGTAGTGAGAGGGTCTGATTTTGGGATGGGTGCATGATGAAGTTGACAGGATCATCATGTAAAACGGATGTATTGTCCACTCTCCACTCCACTTGCTCTCATGTCATTTGGAATGTTTGAAGAAAATTTAGACCAAATGTATGGAAACAACTATGTGTGTACAGTTTTCACCAAAGAAATGCATTCAGTGTGTAAAACATTAAAAATGGAAAACATTTTCTTTGCACTATATTAGCTGAAACCGTCTGGAGCATTATCATTTTAGCCATACTTTTGACCAAAGTGCACAGGTTGCTTTTGGGGTTTTCTCCATTTTTACTACCGCATTGTGGAGCTGGATATATGATCGCACAGCAAAGCCCGGTGGCATAAGCCTGTGTAAAGCATAACCAGCAGTGAAAAAAATACACGGGGGCTCAGGGCGATTTAGCCCCCGAAATGCCAAAAAGAGCCCCCGGAAATTAGCATAGAGTTCAATGCAAACCAAATTTTAGAGTGCTATTTTCATGCACGCGAGCTTGAAAAGTAGCCCCCGAAAATAAATTTTATATTATTTTTTCCTTGATAACAACAACACTTGAGGACTATTTTGGAGACAAATTGCATGCATGTGTCTAAAGGTAAATAGAGAGTAGGCTGAAATACAAAGAAAGCTGTTTAAATTCTGAGGCAGGCAAGTGCGTGGGGAGCAGTTTGTAATGAAATATTGGCTAAAGTTGTTGTAGTGGGTGGGCCTGACTTGTGGTGTTTTTCAGCATCCTGTGGTTCTACCAGTCCACTACCAGGTCTGTATTCTGTCATCATTGGCAGTACTGAGACTGCTTATATGTGACCCGTGATAGCTAAATCGGAAGCCCGTGATAGCTAAGTCGGAAGTCGCACAGTAGCATTTTACAGTACAATCAATTTTGTTTCAAATATTTTTTTCTAATTTTTTTTCCCTACGCATTTTTTCCCAAAAAAAACATCTACAATGTTTACTTTTGATATGTATAAGCAAACATGTCTTAATTCAATTAAAACCTGCTTAAATTGAATGATTTATAAGAAGTGTCGGCTAATAATATCTGAATGATATTAGTTTTCAGCCCTTATTTTAGACAATTCTCAGGAAATCTTAATCGCATGATATATATCGATTTATAATGGTCATAAAATATTCATTTTTCAACCAATTTTCAATATCTATATAACAATAGAAAGCTATGAGTCTCAGGTATCTGAATATGTATTCAAGCTAAAATGTCCAAATTGCGACTTCCGACTCATTTGGCTATCACGTGTCACATATGAGCTAGGTGGTCGTACAGCAGCTAGGATTGGGGGGATAGTGGTTAAAGTAATAGTTAAAACGCCTTGTGTTTATTAACATGCGATGCATTACGCAGCCTGCTATCAGAATGGCTTCGGCTGCACACTACTTCCAAGTGTACTGCCCAGGTGAGCTGCACAGGTGGACCACCCAGGTGCAAGGTGATCAGATAGTAACTACCAAGTGCTTGATTGCAGGTGAAACACTGACCTGTCGCAAGGATGTAATCCGCAACAAAATTCGAGCGATCGGCCGCATGGCACGTATATACAATGTGCTGAGGTAAGGCACACGGTCTCACGTCGGCTGAGACTGTGGCATGCAGGTGACAGAGTGTGCTGTGTACCCCTCCCCAACCCAACCCTCGTGTCTTTACGGGGCTCCGGAGGCACCCGCCCAATTCCTTTCTCGGAAGGGTGATGGTACTAACTACCTATGTTTCAGGAGGAGCGTCAGTAGCACGCAAAGAAGTGATCAGAAACAAGATTCTTGCAATTGGGAAAATGGCCAGAGTGTTCTCTGTGTTGAGGTGAGACTAACAGACTAACATGTCTAACCGTAACGGGACATCGCGTATATGAACATACATGACAGTCACTTTTGGCTTCAACCTTGGTAGTCAACATGAGACGTTAGGCTGTAGGGTTTGATTGGGCTATGTCATATTCAAATTAGTTGAGAGCAGCTGGCGTATCCTTCAGCCTTGAGCCGTAGTATTTTTTAGCAAAATTGGATTTTAAATTCCCAATATTCATCAGGAATAAATATAACTTGATTTTAAACTGTGCAGATGGGTGTTTATTAATATTCACGGATGGTGGCATTGGTTATACTGCCTCTTGCGGTGGTGATGTAAGTTGCACTAATGAGGTTTTGTATTGGCTGCTACAGTGTGAGTGTATTGGTTAATAATTGAAGGGATGAAGTATTCAATATTAAACTGGAAAATCGTTATGTAGGTCAATGCATAATTTAAGCAAGACTAATTGCAAATGCTGAAATAGTGCAAATCCTTCATACATTTTTTTAATATAATGATTTTAATTATTAAAAAAATATTAGCTTCCAAAGTGAAATGTAAAATAAAGAATTCCAGATATTTGTAAAATCCATCTATTTTGTAAATCTTCTATTGAAGTGGAAATGCCAGAAACTTTTAGCTTTAAACATTCATGAGACTATTAAGTTTATTAAGTGCTTCCCTTAGTGCTTATTATTTTTTCATGGGTCGTGTGGTCTAGAAAATTGTAACAAGTAGTTTTGATGGCAACATGATATATAATTACATTTATTTAAATATCATATGACATTCGTTTTATAATCTATGTGCTTCGAATTGGTTGCCTAAGTTTGCTTAGCTAGAGGTAACTTAACTAAAAATTACAGCGATGCATTGGGCACATATTTTATGGTATAGTTGGGACAAGTAAAAAATTAAAATTTAAAATTCAGCAATAAAATTTTTTTATTTTATTTAGAGTTCAGAAAAGTTGTACAGTTTTATGAGATAGTCTTCGGTCGAATTGTGACAACAGCAGGCAGTTTCGTCAATTAATTGTACATGTCTTTTTGTTGTTATTGGGACCAGATTGATTATGACTATTGGGGAGATATGGTGGGCATCAAAAAGTGGCAAGGTGTATTGTAAAGTAAGAAGCATGAGTGCATGTGTTTGAGCATGATTTGACTGATCGGTTTGCTTTAAAACCATAACATGCTGATCTACGGCCGGTGCAGGAATAACTGTAGTTAGTCGCGTCCATGCTCGGTAGTGGCTTTTCGTGTAGTTCAGGCAACTGCAAGGTGAATTGCCTTAATTTTTTCTGTGACCATTGTCATAAGGTATTGTACATTTGTTATTCCTGTTTTATTGCATAGTGTGGTCATTTATATTCAAAAAACATAAATCCTGATTTACTAACGCAACCTATACACACAACTCTATGCATAGCTAAGCTTTATGCGTCGATGGTATTTACAGTATTATATGTGAACTTTTAATTATTTTTTGGGGGGTGATAATTTTTACTTCCTTCAGATTTTTTCAATAGTTGAAAGTCACTAATAACAGGGTGAAAGTATGTATGTAATTAATATGTGTGGAATGATCTTTGCCTGACCCATTTGATGGTTGATATTTTGACAGAGAGGAGAGTGAAAGTGTGCTACAACTCAAGGGCCTTACACCTTCAGGGGCTCTCCCCATGGGTGCTCTCTCTGGGGGAAGGCAAAGCCTGGAAGGAGGTATGCTATGTAATAGAATAGCACTCGTAATCTTCTAGCAGCACTCCCACTGAAATTCACACACATGCAAGTCGTTAGGCAAATGGCATATGAGTTGACGTTCTTTGTTAAGCGATTGTCATAAGGCTCAGTTCACTATGCTCTTGTGAAGCCTGTGCAATGAATTTTTTCTGTTTGACTCTGTCATGATTATTACCATGACCACTAGGCAGTGCTAGGGGAGTCGAATCCAAGGATTGCAATGTAATTAGTATAGGTGTAGATGTTGGTGTTGGTTTTCAGTAGCCAGTTGGACTAGTTACCTAATATTGACCTGATCCTCTAAATCTACCAACCATAGTATTTTAAAACAATATCGCTTGTCTGTGGCTAATATTCACCCTATTGAACAGATTAGATTTGTAGTTAAATCTAAACTCCCTAGCTAGTGGTTGAATCCGAATCTTATTTGTATCATATTTGTATGCGAATGCCTGATCTAGCCTCATCCTTTCTCGGGTGATATTGTGGATAGTTGTTCGTTGTAGCGTTGCTTTCCCTGCCATTGCAGCCATTTCGGGCTTCAACCCTCACCACAAGATAAGTGGCTTCTACGAGGCGAAGGGTCTGGACAAGGTGAACGAGCGAATGCCTCCGCGTAAGGACATGCCGCCGCCACCGACCGTCGACGGCAACATCAAGAACTCGATCACACCGAGCACGTAACATTGCGAGCCCAGCAACCGGACACACACACACGAAGCACACAGACCATCTGTCAACGGGAGCGTCAGTCGAAGAACAGCACCACAACAATGTACATACTAGTTTAAAGCCAAATACCGGGTTTTGGTCCCTGTGAGGGCAGCAACCGCACACCCAATGCCAGCATTGCCTCCAGTTGAGCATTGACACCCTGTGTATAAACTGCGTGTCGAGCAGGATGCATGGGCACTGGGTTGGCATCTGCTGCTCGGTTTCTGCCACCACCAATATCCTTGCCACCGTGTTTCTGTACGCAGTTGAAGCTGGCGTGCGAATGCTGATGTGCGTGCGTGTGTGGAATGTGTGCAGGGAGTAGGATTTCCTCCTGGAAATGCTGTCGACCACTGCATGTTTCTGAATGGATCTTTAGTGTGAGAGGCACTGTGAGCCCTTCATAGGTCTATCAGTTAAGTGCTGTTGTGGTGAAATTATTTCCCGTGTCTGTCTGCTGTCCAGTTGTAACTTTATCGCTTTCTACCACGTTATCCTTCCCTATGCATAAATCCTCGAGATGTGTTCACCGCTTCACTCTAATTTTACATGGCGGTAACCCAGCTCATAGGTGGTGGCACTGCAACCAACAACCAGTGTCCAAGCAGCTTGTGTGAGAGCTGCGAGGCAGTGGTCCTGCCTCCCCTCCCCCTCCCCTCTTCCCAACGTGCCTCCCCGTGTGTTGGTATATATTTATTTCTACACGGTCGTAATCGCTGTGCAGGTACAAGATGTGGGTTTGCAGTGGGAGTCGAGGCCAACGTTGCAACAATTCTAGTCGGTTGACTCATAGATCTGTGCATATAATGACTCATTTACGACGATTAGCAATGACACAAACAACGAGGCACTAATCGTGAGGGTGATGGCAAGACGGACTCACGTAACCATAATCTAAATCTTGACATTAATGGCTCAGAGTGGGAGAAAATTATTTGAGCTGTGCAGCTTTGCAAATTTCAAATGCTACAAAGAAATATATTCCTCGGCGCGCGCTTTTGTGCTACTTCAAATTATTGCACATAGAGTCATGGATGTAGATGGGCAAGTATCAATCACGTCGATTGTCGGCGATATTTCTTGTGCGTAAGAACGAGTCAATCGTGAGTTGGGTAGTTATTTGAAGTTTCTCCTATGGTGGTGCTGACTATATTGGTAGTCTTACCACCACGCAGCTCGCGTTGTCGATGTTGCCTGAGCAGCGGGCAGCAGAGCCGTGCCTTCAGGAACGTTGCTGTGGAACGTTGTTATGAGTCTGCATGCACGATTGCAATTGCTGTGCACAAGTCTGATCACAAGGTGGAGGTAGCTGAAAAGTTAGTGACGTGAACGTACTGACAGAAAAGTACGTCCATCATGAGCCTTGGTCTCTAATAATGACTGGCCTTCTAACTTTTCAGCTGTTCCCACCTGGTGGCACCAGTTGATATATTGTTGTTTGCTGACATGTTGTTTATATTGCACCAAAAGTCTTCAGTCATTTATTTATTAAAGAACTTGTTGAAAGTAACCATTTTCGATTTATTAAAAAATGTGTTTTTATTATATATGGTTATATGAGCGAAAGCTACAGGGTTGTTGCTTATAATTATGGTGTGGACCTGCTAACATTCCAAGGCGCTAGGTCAAGACAAATATTATCATGAAGCATTATGATGAGCATTATTATGATGTTTGGAGCACACTAGATTAGTATCGTGTCGTAGTTTTAGGGTTTCTAAACCGAAGTAGTATCACCATGCAGTGTAGCTGGGATGATTACAAGGAATGTTGGCTGGTCTGCCGTTTGCGTGTTGTCCCTGAGTGGGTGCGATTGATAGCTGTAAACCCCCTTGGATTGCACACCACATAGTGCGCCTGTGGGTTTCTGCTTTTATATATTCATGATTCATGAGATATGCATACATGTGTATATGAGCAGGAATGAAAATAGACGACGCTTTTCTCTATATCAATTCCTCTTGGCTATATATCATTCAGTGAGAGAGATAGATTTTGTATTTAAGTGTTTTTTTCGTCGAATATATTTACTTGTATTACTTGAATTTGAATTGTATTACTGCAGAGTTCGCGCCATATATACAGTTAAAAACGAATGGGCATTGTTAAAAGACGCTGAGTGCTAACTAAAAGAAACAACAGGTGCTGTGTAAGAGGTATCGGTCAGTAGAAATTTATGGCATCTCCCTCTGTGTTGGGGACAGCTGCAAATATTATTTTGCCAGTTGGCAGCGTGGAGCATGGGACAGTGCCCAGAGCGACCACATGAACATGGTACGGAAAGTTGTGTGCCACTTCTGTACCATTTAATGGATTGTTATCGATATAGTAATATATATATATATATACATATATATATATATATATATATATATCAATATGTATACATATTTAACTGTGTTTTACACAGGTTTTATGTATTTATTTCTATATGGCAGAGCTCCATCGGTTGCTTCCAGTGAAGTGTTTTGAATGCAGTGCTGTTTTCTGTATGCTAGTAATAATTCAGTAATTATAGCCAGATGTTCTGACACATCATTCTGCTGCAGGCCTGAAGTCCGTGAATCTCAAATGTGAAAGTTTGATATACCGCTTAAACATCACAGTTGTGAAATAATAATTTCTCTCGTCTCGCCATTACGTATTATTTTCAGTGTAAAGTTGCCAATATGGAGGTGATAGGCTCCTGCTTAAGCTCACCACGACTTGCTGTCTGAGGCACGGTTATCAGAGTGGCCTCGACAGCAAATTTAGCATAAACTAGTTTCTGCGCATGCACTCGTTTTTATATCCCTGGAAACATGTTTTCTGTTCATATAAAACATTGTTTAATAATATAACCTTTCTCATTAACCATAAACAGCTATAACAGCATTAGACCGATTCATGTTAGAATTTCCCAGTTTGCATGACCGGATCAGTCTAGGTAAGACCGAAATTCATTCTATATACTATTCTATGGTGTCAGTAGAAAAGGTTTTTTTTATTTAAGGTTTAGGCAGTTTGACTGGAACAACAAGTTTTTGCCATACTGTTGATGCTGTTTCTTGAAATTTTATTAACTATTAATTATTTAGAGCAGCTTATCTATTGGAATGTCGAAATGTTAGCTGTGGAATGTAATTCCCCCTTAAATCATATAAAGTAACCGTTCAAAGTTGGGCTGCATAGGAATCTGTATTTATAAGTTATGTCGTAACAGCCAGTATGTATTTTTTGTGACATGAGCGTCACAATACTTGTCTCCCGTTTTGAGTCTGTCGTCTGTCAACCAAAATATGATAACCCTCCATCGAAGCTATACAGCTGCTCGGCTACAGTTTTTTAAAGTTCATATTGTGAGTAATGTTTAAATGTATTTATGGAAGTCGGACACTGGAGGCGTTCCTCGTTAGACAGGTGTGATCGTGATTGGTTCGCACCGTTGCCGCACTCGGGACGCGCCCATACATGTAGTTTCCGCCTGCACATTGCACTCCCGTCTTCAGTCTCCTGGCAACCATTTGTATTTACCATACTCGTTCATCAGGTAATTTCTGTATTATGCAAAAAAGCAAGTATATATATAAATATATATATGTATATGTCAGTCGTTGGAGACGATTTCTGTCCGTGTCTGTGATGGTGTGGGAGGCAGACCGGACATGTGTACTGTTTTCCTTGGTTTCCCTACCGTGTTTAATATTGAATTTACATCTGAGGTATCTTCCTTGGCTTGTTTGTAATTCTTTTTCGATGCAGTTGAGTAGAATATTTTTTCATGTCTCTTATGCTGACAGCTAGTCATAGAGGCATTGGCATGTTTGTGCAGCTATTTCTGCTTCCTGCCAAATAATTTATTGAATTTCCCGTCTGCTGTTGAATCCAATCCGTGTTTGATGTGACTTGCGAATTTCCTTGATATGTTGTTATGAACATGTAACCTATGTGGGTGAAACCATTTGCTGAGACCCTCCTGCTATACAATCATCAAGAGACTTTCTGTCCCGATTAGCACTATGGTCTTGTACGCATTCGGACCCGGGTTGTGTGCAGTGCTAGGGAGAGCATCGGAGGCTTGTGTTTGTCTCTACTTGAGCTAGCCATAACTTCCTAAATTGCATCCAGCGCATGACCAGTCTGTGACAGAAGCATCTTGTGGTAAATGACACGTCGTGAGTTAAGCACAGATGCTTAGCTCTACTTATGTATCGGCTCGCTCTGCATATTTGTGGTGTATTCCTGCAACATGTTACGGAGCGACGTGTTACGTTGGTTAGAGCTAGCAGGTGCGCAGCTTCCGTGTCTGCCCGGTGTTATGCACTTATAATGCTTATTCCGAATGAGAGAAGTTAATCAGCTGCAGTTCTGCTTTTGTGGAGTTTTACCAGCAAGTCTGTAGCAAGGCCTCACATGTTCCCTCCAATGCTTGTATCACTGCACACTAGTCATGTAAGGTCTTGTCAGTGACATACATGTAACTGTAAGCCACTTTCTTTTCTTCCTACCCCTCCCCCAACAACTTGCTTTTTCCAAGCTGTTATAATATTCAGATGCAATTTTGGAGGCTAGGAAGTTGAGCATTTTTGTGTGTTCCCTGCTGCCAAGAAATTAGCAAAGAAATAGATGGTACAACACTTTTTACATAAGATTCTTGTGAACGTGTTCATTACATAATTATTCACTTCTTTGATGTTGTAGTATCTTGTACTTTTATTATTACTTCAAGCAAAAAATATGATATTATGACATTACCACGAGTTAATAATGACAAATTGTCAATTGACAATTGACAATATTGACAAATTTGTCATTATTAACTCCTGATATTACTAAACCAGCTACTAGGGTTAACAATGTGGACTAAAACCATATGCCGGGGTAGCCATATGTTAAGAAACAATGGAATGCAAAAAATTAAATTACAGTTAACACGTAGGTGGCACCTGTCAGCATGAGAGATCCGCATACAGGTTTGGTTCTTAATACCATGCACCTCTTGATGCTAAACATGGGAAAATTTCAATTTTTTGTCAATATTGTGTGATTATTTATTGTAAATCTTACATGTTACCACGTAAACATTTCTGTGTTAAAATAAAATTTCAAATATTGATTTGATCTGTAAGTTTCTATTTCGGGAAATATAATTTTATTATTACCGTTATTCCCCATATATGTTTAATAGTCTAATTACTATTAGTTTTGCACGAACCTCTAATTCGAAAGCCAGTTCGAGCAGTTTGCTGGCATTGCCATTGTTAGCTGGGTAACAAGTATTTACAGTAAGTTAGTTCCATGTTTTTATTATTACGAAACTTCACTATATATATGCACACGTATACAAATGATATTGGATTATGTGCACGTGCATGTAGATGTGTTTTAGGTAAATTGCAATCATTTATTATCTATCAAACTATACTTTAAATTATATAAATCACACAGAATTAGCGCCAGTGTTAATATGGCTAACCTTGAATTTATTAGACAGGATCCAGATGAAGAAATGATTGACAATGTAAACACATGACATGCTTTCAGACCCATGCCTGCATTCTTGTAACAGATGTGACACAGATAACAGAAGGTAGCATTCTCTGAGGCAACTACTTGCTCAATCTGATGATTTCACCTCCTTAGATTCCAGATAGAGCTCCAACTCATCCTTCATATCCTATTCGTTTAAAAAATGCAAATGAAATGTTATTACTGCCAATAAAATTGTACAACTTTGGAAGATGTTTTAGATGCACAATAATTACACATTACATATATGAGTTATGTGGGTATGTGTGTGCTTGTATGAGAGGGGCGAAAGGGGTGAAGAAATGGAAGGTATACTGATACAGAAAGATGAGGATGGAAGAGAGAGAGAGGTGGGGAGATGGGAAATAATGAGGGAGGCAGAATAAGAATGAAAGAGTGGTCTTAGTGTAAAGAGATCTCAGATGTGCTAAAATACATGCCTAAGCACTAAACTTTATACTAATTGTATTTAATGTATTTTTAAGCTCTAGAATCATATATATTGTATTGCCATATATATTTTATATATATATAACAGGAGTTAATAAAGACAAATTGTCTTTATTAACTCCTGATATATATATATTTATTATATGAAACTAGGTACGTATAAATGATATATAAATTAATCAATACAAATAAAACATATATATATATATATATATATATATTGAATTATTATATGTTTTATTTGTATTGATTAATTTATATATCATTTATACGTATGTAGTTTCATATAATTAATTAGAATTGTATTGAATATATCCGTACCTGTTTTAATGTTTCTTGATCTTTCTTTTTCCGATATAACCATTGTGCTAGATACTCTACTGGGTCAGCTGGTCGTTTTTCACATACTTCTGCAAGTGCCAAAGTTAAGACGTCTCCTAGTTGTTCTTGAAGATATTTTGAATCCATAAGTACTAGTCTCCTACTGAAAATACATAAACATCTCAGATGTCATCTGAACTACATAACTACACCTAAATTCTCACTGACGTACATATGCACCAGGGCCGGGCGGGCCATGTCAATAATAAAATCGGGAGTGAATAAAAACAAACTGCGGTGGAAGAAATACAATTTGCACTCTATTATCGAAACGGCCCAAGTGCCTGCGATTTCTGTCATACCATATTGGTACTCCTAGTAGCAGTAGCAGTAGCAGTGGCGCTGAGAGGGTCTATGTTCCCCAGGGTACTGCCGGAACGTACCCTGGGTACAGTCCGGTATACCGAAACGTACCCTGGTACCAGAGCATATAAATCGACGTGATTTATATGCTCTGCTGGTACTATCTAATATGCTGGACCGTACCTACTTCACTAATGAGTTTAGGGAGTCGCCTACGCCTACTCCCTAACCCTAACCCTAACCATATCAGATAGTTACCAGGGTACGTTCCAGCAGTACCCTGGGGTACTTAGACCCTATGAGCGGCAGTGGCAGTGGCAGTAGCAGTGGCAGACTGGCAGTAACAGTAGCAATTTAGCATTACAGTAAAACCCCACTTATAAGAACCTAGTGATTAAGTCCCTGTTAGGCTAAGATTTCCCATTTAGACCCTTTTGACATACGAACCTGTATTAATTAGCCTAAAATTTGAAACAGGATCTTATTTGATAAAATTTAATCAACACAAAAATTAATAAATCAACTAGAACAAGCTCTATCGGGCAATGAAAGGTTTCACTGCATATATATATACATGATCAGGGTTCTCCCCAGGATGAAATTCAAACAGGGGGGAGGGGAGGGGGAGGGGGGAAACTAGGGGGGTCCGGGGGGCGTGTTTTTTTACCGTACCACTAATTAATGCGTAAAATCGCCACCACACCATAGACGGTATTTGGGGTTCTTGTATATATAAGGTAGCCGAGTCGGTGTACAGTTAGTGTTGGGTGTGGGACAGGTTAACTGTTTGTACTTGTGTATTGTGTGCAGTGCATGCGTGGCACGGTAAAAATACATGCGCCGAGTGTCCTGGTCGAATGGGAAGATTCCCGTTGTGGAATTTAATCGGGGCGGAGGTAATTTAAACGGGGCGCAATGATTGAAACAGGGGGGAGTTTTCCCAAACGGGGCGCGCGCGCCCCATTTGCGCAACGTAGGGAGAACCCTGATGATGAAATTGAGCCTGGTACCATAACTGAGGAACCTGCATGGTCAGGCAATATGTTTCTGGTGGTTTAAAACAACCTAGTTTTGTTTTGTTGATGTTTATTAGGTATAAAGGGCATAAAAAGAAATAAGATAACCTAGGGTTTGTATTTGTCTAGATTGCAGTCATTTAGACATGTATAAAATTATATGCATATTTTATATAAGCAATGAACTGCACCAATATTCTACCAGCAACAAGCACTAATGCAGATAAGGTCTATGTCCCCTTGACCTCTGTTTGACCTCGCTCGTTTAGCTATTTCTGACTAATATATATATATATATAATATAATATATATAGGGTTAGGGTTAGGGTTAGGATTAGGGTTAGGGTTAGGGTTAGTCAGAAATAGCTAAACGAGCGAGGTCAAACAGAGGTCAGGGGGACATAGACCCTACGAGCAGCACTAATAAGAACCTAAATTTATAGCCAAATTGCCCAGTAAACCAATTAGGCCTATATAATTATAAGGTCTTTTTGGTTCATGGATATAAGCACTGACCACAATTCATTTTCGCAATTGTGTGACATGTGCAAATGTGGACAGCTCTTAATCTTATATCATTCGCTGTGGCTATATGCCCAGCAGCCTTATGCGGTCCGGACCCCCCCCCCTTTTTTACCACAAAAAAAGGGAAAAAAAGCACACATGTGTGCAACATGAAAAAAGCACACATGTGTGTGCACGCACGCACGCACACACACACACACACTTCTCTTATATTGTCTCCATAAAAAAATCTTGTTTAGCTCTAGTTTTTCTGATAAAGATTTACTTATATATGTAAATTCGTTATAAAAACCTAGAAATGGGCAAAGAATGGTCCGCAGGCGTCAGGGGGACCGGATCTGATAAATTTTTGCATTCTAGACATCAAAATTACTGCTCAATGTTCTCAGAATGCACCAATTTTTAAAAAAATCTTGTGGGGGGGTCCCCCAAACCCCCCTAAGTGGCGCTCATAGGGTCTATGTCCCCCAGGTTACTGCCGGAACATACCATGGGTACGGTTTGGTGTACCGGAACGTACCCTGGTCACTATTTAATATGGTTAGGGTTAGGATTAGGGTTAGTGTTAGGGTTCGGGTTAGGGTTAGCTCTAGTAACTATAGCCCGCGTACAGTTGCCGCAGGCAAGTGTACGCGGGCTATAGTTACTAGAGCTAGGTTAGGGTGAGTGGACTAGGCGAGGTACGGTCCGCCATATTAGATAGTACCAGGGTACGTTCCGGTATACCGGACCGTACCCAGGGTGCGTTCCGGCAGTACCCCGGGGGACATAGACCCTATGACTATGAGCCTAAGTGGCCTTCGGCAGCTTTTTAAAACACCAGAAAAAGTAAGCAGGAAAAAGTGCCCTTTATTTCTTCCTGGACACACCCCCTTTTCAAAAATCCTGGATCCGCCCCTGCTAGTGCTGCTCGTAGGGTCTATGTCCCCCTGACCTCTGTTTGACCTGGCTCGTTTAGCTATTTCTGACTAACCCTAACACTAACCCTAATCCTAACCCTAACCCTAACCCTAACCCTATATATATTATATATTATATATATATTAATATATTAGTCAGAAATAGCTAAA